TTTTTAACCAATCAATCCATTCATACACAGATTCACTAGTAGCACCATTTAGTTGCATAGCATTTTTATAATTTTTTAAAAGTTTCAGTTCAGTAACTAAATCTTCCTCTGGAACCTTGGAAAACGTCGATAATATTTTTGTGGTGTTTTGAGTTATATCCATATTTAACATGCATGCCATGGCATCAACCAAGTCAAATGTATCCTGCTTAAATCTTAAGTCAATCCCACTAAGTAATTTGTCAAGTAATGGATAGAATACTGTAATTTTCAATTCATCTAATTTTGTATTAAAAAAAGTTTGATTTGATGAATTAGGGTCTAAACGAGTTGAAACTTTACGGGTATTACTTTCTGGAATATTAATATCATGTTTTCAATGCATAATATAACAGAACTATCAAACAGTTGTTTATATTCACTGTCATTATTCCTCATATTAACTAAGGTATTCTCAAACTATTAACATTTTCATTGCCAATACAAGATTAAGTTTTGGCTCTTGAGTAAAGTACTAACTTTTAAAATTAACATTAAATTGGATTCATCATATGCATACCAAAAATGAAATCAAAGGTTTTTAATTGATATAATAGACCAATTCCTTTAGCTCTCATCTCTGGCAACGAACAATTTTCACAGATGTTTTCTATTGCAATTATCAATGCTCCATAATTATTCATAACTGCTTTCACAGCTTCAGCTCGACAAGCCCATCTTGTATTTGAACATGACTTCAGTGTATGGAGCTTATCACCAGTTTCTTTTGCAACTTTTTCCAGTATAGCATGTCGCATTGGACTACTTTCTATAAAGTTATATATAAATTGAACAGTTCCCAAAAAATTAAAAATTAATCGATTTTGTTTTCCTTTAGAATTTGATTTTTCACATATAGAATCAACCAACACCAAGTTCAAACAATGTGCATAACAATGCACATACATTATGCTATTGTTTTGCTCTTTGCATTTTGCTTGAACGCCATTTAAATGTCCAGACATGGTCGATGCCCCATCAAAACAAACAGATAAAACATTTTTCCAGTTTTTATTCATAAGATCCAATACATCACACAGTGAATTAAAAATTGCCTGAGCTGTGACTGATTTTAAACGTTGCAATGACACAAATGTTTCAATTGGCCGATTTTTTCTTCGTCAAATAACGAACTATGATAGATATTTGTTCATGATGACCCACATCACTGGTTTCATCGGCCAATATTGAAATAAATGAATCTTGAACATTAGTCTTAAATGTTTGTAAAAGAACATTATGAACAGACGATATCAAATCATTTTGTATGCGATTACTTGTGTACAGTGCATGTTTTGGACCTTCTGTTAGATGTTTTTTTAAAACAGTATCATATTTGACAGCAAATTTAACCAACTCTTTAAAAAGACCTTGATTTACACTCTGTGATTTTTCATCATGCCCACGAAAGGGTCTACCTCCTTTGACTAAACAAATTACTATGTCAATTAAACGACTCATAATTAGTCTATTATTTTGGCGTTCTATTTCCTTCTGACTAGTTGTATGTTTATGTAGTTCATCTATCTTACAAGAAATAGATGTATTGTGTAAATAGTTATGCAAAGATGTAGAACTATTCAAATGGTACTTTGATAATTGGTGTTTTCTAAACGCCTCGCCAGCTCTATACCATGCACTAAACCCTTTTTCAAAAAAAGTAGTATCGATTTGACCACAGTTTTTTTCATTACCTTTAAACATTCTGCAAGGAAAGCAGAAGGCTGCATCAGCTGTGGGACTGTATTCTAGCCAATCATACTGTTTATACCACTCTTTATGAAATGATCTAAATTTATTACCTTGAAGTTTTCGTGGATATAAATTTAAAATTGGTTTATAACCGCCATTTAAGATTCTCTCTTTAACATCAAAGTATGTCATCGACAGTGGATGGATTGGATCACGTATATCAATAGAACTAACTGAAAAAATAAAAATTTAAATTAGTAATGATAAATTCAAATAATACCTTATTTTTATATCTTTACATGTTTTTATTGAAAATAATATGCAGCTATAAAATATATAGTATAATTTAAATTAATGGGTATTAAATATTATATATTTTATATGATTTCCTTTATAGCACATATTATGATATATTATAGCTATATTTTAATTTGTATGTTTGTGTACCTGTAACTTCAGCATCAGATGAAATGATAACTTCCAAATTTGTTTTATTGATTTTGTGGCTTGTATTTTCATATATTATAACTTGAGGATCAGATGAGGTGATATCTTTTACATTTGTCTCATTGTGCTCTTGGCTTATATCTTCACATTCTATAGCTTGAGTATCAGTGGAAGTGATAACTTTTAAATTTGTTTTATTGATTTTGTGGCTTGTATTTTCATATGGTATAACTTGAGGATCAGATGAGGTGAGTTGTAAATTTGTCCCTTTATTTTCTTGGCTTGAATTTGTACATTCAAGATTATGTTTCTTAAAACAAAATACAAAATTATATAGTTAATTTTAATTTATAATTTATTAGGTAGTAAAGTTAGGTATATAAAATCAACCGACAAGGAAAACATACACTGTATTATATGAAACAACAAACAATACAAATTAAATATACCCATTACCTATATATCAGGTCTTAAATTTAAAAAAAAAAGAATATATTGATTTTATGTTTTCAGATATTTAAACAATATACCTACAATTTTACTTGTAAAAAATATTTGATTTTTTTTGTTTAACTTTATTATATTTTTTAAAAATATTTTAATGTTTTGTTTTAATACATTTTGAGAAGTAATAATAATTGTAATTCATTACTAATTATTTATAGGTATATGTTTTATAAACATTTGATATTTTTTGTTGAACAGGATTTATCAGAAAAAAAAATGTAATGCACTGTGCTTAGGTACACGAGATAATACCTACAGTTAATATTATGATATAAAAATAAGTTATTTAAATATACTTTTTATAATAATAAACACTACCAATTTATAAGTTATTTAATTTCATAGTCAAAATGTTTTCTAAAATATGAAACGATAATAATTAGATAATTAAAAAACGATAATTACGTTTGACAAAATCAGCCAACTTTAAATAGTTATATACACAATAATGAATATTAACAGAATATAAACTTACCAAGACCAAGTCTAATACAGGATCAGGTTCATCAATATCATCTTCGTTCATTTTATTTACTGGCATAAAAAAGTTTTGAATATTTTGACATGATTTTGCCGCTACATTCAACTTAATTCTTTTTTTTTCACGCTCTTTAGCAGCTCCTCCCTTTGTAAATGTACTTTTAGTAACATCCATCGTTCAGCAAAATTTAATAAGCAAAAAATAAAATATAGGTAGTTTCACAAGTCACAACGACGTATCGTGTTGGTATGATTTGTGTACTGTGTACATAGTTTGTCAGTTCACCGTCCACAGTATACGTATCCGAGGATATAAGCAACAATAAAAATAACAATTATTTATTACAGCTAAAAATAACATAATATCATGAAATAGGGAATGGTAAACAAGCCGACCCCGCGTAGCGTATCCCGCCTATCATCCGGGAAACGGTTTTTCAATACGGGTATAACATCATATCGGTGTACGGAAACAGTTTCATTGTTCGAACTTCAGATCATAGGTAAACACTTCACCCATCAGCTGATCGAGTTTCGCTTCTATATTTTTCTATACTAGAATAATATACAATCATTAGGTATCCACACAATTCTCTGCATTTAGTGATATTTTGAAATGAATCCTGGCGCGCTCTATCAATGAGTTATTAATTATTATATAAAACGACTCGTGGATAGTAACTGAAGTTCCGTTTTTTTTTTTTTTTTTACTGATGTCCGGATTTGGTCTAAAAACACATTATGGTAACTCTAGTCATAGGGCCCTTCGGCCCATGAAAAATCACAGGGCGTGCCCAGGCACGCCCGGCACGCCCTGTGCGCACGCCTATGAGTATATGAACTAAATGAATCGCATACATTAGAGTATATAAGTTGTATGTTTGCAAATTGTTTGTCGGAATGGAATATTTCTCATAGTCAAATTATTGCTGTTGTTACAGATAACGGTAAGTAATTATAGTAAACCATGCTTATAAATTATTATTTATTTTGTGGTTTTTTTTATTATGTCTATATACATTTTATTATTATGTTTATCTCATAACATTGATGTTTATGGTGTTAAAAATAAATTATAAAATCTTAGATAATATATTTAATATCAATAGGTAAACAACCATAGGTACTACAAGTTAATTAATGTTTTTGAATGAATTTGTTTTGTTTAGTTAGCAATAAATAATTTTTTATAATGAAATAATACATTAATATTAGAAGTACCTATAAAAGTAACTATTTTTTAAGGTGCAAACATAAAAAAGGCTGCACAAACTACATTTACCGTTGACAAGTTAATACCATGTATTGCACACACTATCAATTTAATTGCAGAAAAATCAATATCAGATACAAATAATTTGACTTCTTTACTTTACAAAGTACGGGGTATCGTCAAATGTATAAAAAACAACACTGCTATTAGTAATGAGTTAAGGAAATGTCAAACTAATGAAGGTAAATAGATTACCATATTTTCTACAATTATCTGATTAATTATTCTTTCTTTTTTTTTTTTTTTATAGGAAAATCTGAAGGACAATTACTAAAACCTATTTTGGATGTAAAAACTCGCTGGAATAGTGTTTATTATATGATTAAAAGATTTTTGAAACTTTCATCCATTATTTCTTTAATTTTATTAACATAACCAAATGCACCAGACATGTTAACCAGTCGTGAATTAAATGATCTAAAAGGAATTTGTGCACTTTTACATCCTTTAGAAAATTTAACAACTAAAATGTCGGGTGAAAAATATGCAGTAATTAGCACAGTCATACCTTTTTTAAATTGTGTAAGAAAGTATTATTGTTGAATCAAATACTTGCATTGGTTTACAAAAAAATATTTTAAGTGAAATACATAGACGGTTCAAAGATATTGAAAAATTCAATGATTTCCCACTGGCTACACTTCTTGACCCCAGGTTAGTTAATTTTGATTCATCATTACTAAACAATCTTATTTATATATAAACCTAATTCATATAACTAATTACGGGATTGATAGATTTTTGATGATAGACGTGGGTGGATACGGGAAAGATAGCGTAGGTGGTGTTATAGTAAATCTTAAAATTTACCAACGTATCGAGAACGGTTCTCTTAAACTACCAAATGAAATAAAATTACCAAATTCGAACTTCTTGGCTTCTTTTGTATTTATAGGAGATGAAGCTTTTCCGTTGAGAAATTACTTAATGAAGCCTTTTCCGAGAAAGCAATGTCAAGAAAACGAAAAACAGTATTACAACTATAGACATGCGTGAGCACGAAGGGCAATCGAGTGTGCATTTGGCATAGCTTCATCAAAATTTAGAAATCTATTAAAACCAATAGAAACAAAAGTAGACAAAACAGTTGGCATCTGAAATGTTAATTCTAGTTAGATATTTTGGATTAATTATTGGTGATCTTATTTCTATTGAAGAACCAGTTAAAGAATCAGTCTTTACGTGAAGTTTTAGATATCATGCTATCACCTGCGTTTGAAGAAGAAAGTATTTATTTACTAAAAACGTTAGTAGCTGAACTCAATGAACTTTATTTAAAATGCAGCAAAAATTGTCTTAAATCTAAATTCCATTTCTTGGTACATTACCCATCTATGATTCAAAAGTTTGGTCCGGTTAGTCATATTTGGGCAATGAGATATGAGGCAAAACATAGAATTTTAAAAATTTGTGCTAGATCGTCTTTCAACAGACGAAATCTTTGTTTAAGTTTGGCAATTAAACACCTATTACTACTTAACGAAACTTTTTATAAGGGTCGATTATGTAATACTATTGATGTAGGTCCTTGTAAGATGATTAATTCAATTAAATGTGAACAAATTATTAATGAACTCAATCTTGATTTAAAAGAAACATTATTTCCTGTTACCTGGGCTACTGTTAAAGGTACATGCTACAAAATCAATAGCATACTAACTCAAGATATTATTGAAGATAATAACAATTTCAAATTTATTTCTGTCAAAAAAATATATATATATATTTACAGTTCTGATAAAATCATTTTTGAATTTATTCCATTTATTACTTTATGCTTTAATAAACATGTCTGTGCCTTCGAAGTGAAATTCGATGAATTTGTAGATGGTAATAATTTTATTTTCCAAAATTCTATAATTTCTCCTATACCAAATCATATAAATATTACTGCAGATGGAACTAAGTATATAACTTTGAGGAGTTCTCTGTAATGTATTGTTAACAAATTTGTAAAAAATTATAACATTGATAATGTTCAGTATACAAGTCTAAAGAACACTTTTAATAATAAACATAATTAATAAATTATCCCATTTATAAGATTATAAATGGGATTATT